ATAAATACATACGCTCTGAGTCATCCCAACATGTATTGCGTGCTACGACAATAATTCCATTTCGAGACATTCATACTTTTAATATTTTACTTGTTTTTAAATCGCAGTTTTTAGTGTATCATTTTAAATATAGTTAGGCCACCCTTCGGGTGATAACCTAACCGTGTGACAATTTGTGGCATCCTAAACGAATAAACGGCAGAATGCCTAGGACACAACAGACAGACAGATAAACATAGTTCGTTTTTGTAGTAGTATAGATATCATGGAGTCATGGTATAATGGCTTAATTGTACATTTACTATTTTTATTTTTATTAATAAATTTCATGTGGTTTTATTTTCAAAGTGGTGCTGCATGTCAGTCAGTGCCCCAATTGTATATATCTTTGATAAACACATGAATTATTACTAGCCATTCGCGGACTGTGGATTACGGGCCTCTAGCATTTACCCAGGCATCATCAAAACATGATCGCAATATCCAAGAAGTAAATGAAGAAGCATAATAACTTGTATTGAAATTATAAATTGTAACACAGGCAGTTAATAAAAACAAAGTAGTGCACTTCGACTCAGATTCCTGCATTGTCACCTGTCCAACGGCTATGATAGTTATATCAAAGAAATTATATATTTGTCTAACACACAAATTGTTATTAGTGTGATGGCATCATTTACAGTTCACGTCACAATTTTTAGAAATCATGTGTATTAGATCGTGGCATATGTAAAAAATTCCATTTGAGGCTTTGCCACATGCCTGAGACTGAGTTGGCGGTGCGGTGTGTGGCTTTTGCTGCGATGCATGTGACAGTAGAGTTCAGGCACTTGGTAATTAAAAAAAAACTGATGCTGACTGTGCTAAGGCAATGATAGTTATCGCAAAATAAATTATATATATTCTCACTGAATGCTTACACATACACATGCACGCGCACGTACACACACAAACACGTATGCACGCACACCAATGCTTACCGAAGAAATGTCAACGTTCGCACGCACACACAAACGCACGCGTGCACCAACACGCACGCGCGCACCCAAATGCACACGCACGTACGCACGCGTGCACCAACACGCACGCGCGCACCCTACCGAAGAAATTTCAACGTTCGCACGCACACACACACACACACACACACACACACACACACACACACACCAATGCTCACCGAAGACATTTCAACGTTGTTAGTGGCGTCGGACAATTCAAGCGGTGTTTTAAAACACCCAGACGTTTAACTTAATGCTCACTTTAACTTAAGAAATGATGTTTGGCGAAACAAAGTTTGCAAGGTGAAACAGCGATTTGTAATGACGTACCGCACTGCAGCTGCACGGGTTCGTTCTGTATCGTTCTGTTCCTTCGTACCTGTACAAAGGCCAAACATGTAGCCGGCCTGCATGCCAATTTGCTAGCTAGCTATCGCCTTCCGGGCCTTCTCTCAAGCGGCTTTACTCCCTCTGGATTAAAAAAATAGAGCATTTTAGGAATTTTTTAGACCCCGCGGCAAATAGTATACGGGAGACAAAAAGTTTTTAGTGGTACAACATTGCTGCCTTCAGGATGGCTCTGAAATATTAATATTATAAGGGTATGTAAGTTTCGTTAATCAAATAGCATTATTATGAAAAAAACAAGAGGTGTCATATCTTGTATACGAATGAAGCCTTCTGTCTATATTGTAGTGGCCCTTAAGGTTGTTACAGCACGTGTGATCTATTGGTTTCCGCATAATTATTTTGCCGGTAATGCAGTAGGTGGACAGACACCAGAGTGAAATTCAACAGCTTTTATTAGTGTAGTCGCTGGGTAATTCTGCTGCCAGACAACTGTGCGCTTATAGGTAAAATGCTACATGCGCCGTGTAATTGCTTGACTAAATTTACAAATACGATAATAAAATGAGAGTAGACTGATGTTGGTTACAAACTGCCGTTTCACGATATATTATATACTCACTAAAACAAACGTCGTACAAATTACACAGGATAGAAGATAGTTTTCACAATGCATATACACTTTAGTCACAGAGAGAGGAATACACAAGAGCCCCGTTTCCTCCGCGCAATCTCTCTTATACCCCCTTGCGTAAACTGAGCCGTGAAACTCTTACCAAATATGTCTCCTCCCAATCACTGTTGACTACAGGGACGGTAGAGGGTTGGAATCATGGGCGATGGTCAGTTTCTAGAGTGGGAACGAGGGGATAGCCAATGGCAAGAAATGAGTGGGACTGTGTTTACGCCTTCATCGCCCTCTCGGCCACGTGGATGCCCAACGTAGGTGGCATAAGTTTGACGTAGGTAATGATGTTGGATGTCCGATAGATTTACAACCAGGGCGGCCATCAGTCTTCGGAAATATCCCCATTTCGGCCAATGTGCATATGTTCAGGGTGGAACAGCTGTTTAGCATCTGAGTTAAAACCAAGTTCTGCTTAAAGTGTTGTTTGTTCTTTGCCGACGGTTGCCCAAGCTAATGTAATGATACGGCCACGGTGTATCTCCAAATATAATTATTCATTGCAAATTGACACATACTATGCGGACAGTGGTGCCGCCACCATGTGTATCTAGTTTGTAGCCGAGCTAATGTTGTTTACTGTGGAAAAGTTTTAACATATTGGTGTGTGTTCATTAGATAAATCCGTCTTCACTGCCGGTAGTGTGGTTGGTGTGGTATATGATTACGCGGGTTGTTGCTAGCAATAGTGTGAAATGAGCTTGTATGTGCTGGTGCTAAATGCGGTCGCAGAATGACATTAGCGTTGCTACATTAGAATATGGACATATTAATCAACAATACAACCGTCGTACATTTTAATAATATATTTAGGTAATATATTGATATATAGATGTAATATATTGGATATTGCATATATATTATATATTTATATTGATGAGTTTATCTTTCTGCTGTCGTTCGACAGGGTGATTTCCTCTATATGATCGATATGTTGATAATTATATACGCAAAAATGGTCTGTTATTACAACAACAAATTGTGGGGGCTGCCATTATGGTGAGATTGAGCACCGTGATAGGTTTAAGCTTCGCATAGAGCACCGTGATTGGTTAAAGCTTCGCATACAGCCATCTTTAGACAAAACTTGACTGTTTCAGAAAATTCCAATTTTCAAAAGTCTATTACAAACTAATGTGCATCAATTTAGGTGAGAACATTTGTGATTTATTTTTAGGATAATATATATAACTTATAGCCAAAATTAAACTTGGTTCCATGAGATGTCAAACGAAAGTCATTTTCTAGACTGATTTTGCCACCTCGGCCCATGGCCTATTGTATAACACAACCAATAAGGTGGTGCCGAGCAAGCTGTGAAGACTGAACTACGCTATATCTTCATCATTATAGCCATCGCTAAATCAGTCATTTATATATATATAAGATGGCTTAAAAACACATGCATACTCCAGGACCTTACGTAATTACGCAGTTGTAAAATATGGTTTGTAGGTGTCCCAGTCAATATTTATTACACATGAAATCAGATACATTAAAAAAGGTTGCAGGGTGCTGTGAGGAGCTCAGAGTTCAAGAAGTCAGAGATGCGGGATTGCTTGCTGTGCGTAATATCATTATGTATACAGTGATTTGTTGTTAGTGTTTGTTTACGAGGCTGGTTAGTCCTGCTTTGGTAGAAATAACAGTCAACATCCCTATACACAGTATGGATGCTGCTTAAGCACCAAGCCCAGGAGAGACCATGAGATAGGTTTACAGCAATGTTTGTGGGCTAGGTGCACAGTTGCGTTTGTAATTATTAGAAAGAGCGTCCACCTATATTGCGTCGCAAGGTTCTATTTTGGGGCCCCTCTTCTTTATTATGTTTATAAATGACGTGCCCCTGCACATTAACAATGCCAGTATTCATATGTATGCTGACGACTCCACCGTTGTTGTTACTGACAAATCTTTACCTAACCTGGAACAGCGTCTAAATAACAATATGGAGGAAGTTCGTGAGTGGTGTTCTAAAAACAAAATGGTTATCAATCCATCAAAGACCAAAACCATGCTGGTCACTTCCAGACAGAAGCGTTCTACGCTCCCATCCGCGGTACTCCATACTGTCTATAATGGCTCTGTTCTTCCCACCACGTCGAGTAAGAAAATTTTAGGTATCCATGTTGATGATAATCTCACGTTTGAAGAACATATAATGAACGTGTGCGCCAAGATCTCAAAGAAGCTGGCACTGCTTTGGCGGATCAGGAAATTTATCGACCATGATTCCTGCCTGAAGTTTTACTTTGGCTTTGTTTTGCCTGATATTGATTATGGTATTGTTGTGTGGGATGCCGCGAAGAGCATTTGAACGATTGACAACGTTTTTAACTTGCAGAAACGTTTTGCGCTGTTGATTCTTAACATTCGTAGACCTTCAGACGCCCGCACTGAAGAAATCGTTTCGCAGTTAGGTTTTTTGACTGTTCGCCGACGTTGTTATTACCATCGATCTCTTTTAACTTACAAAATTTTACGTAAGCAGGCACCTGCCTATCTTGACGGTTTTCCTACTTTTAAACATGAAGTGAGCTCCAGACGAACGCGTAGTGTGTGTGCAGATGAAGCGCGTTTGTATCCGCCCCGTGCACGCACTGAAATGCTACGAAAATCCTTTCGGTGTGCGGCGGCATCTGAATGAAATCATTTACCTCCTGGCGTTCAAGATGCCCCTACCATTTCTTCTTTTAAAGTCCGTATACAGAAAATCTTGCCCTATCAATAGGGCCCATTGTGCTCTACTTACCCCGTACAACTTTAGTCAAAGTATTTTAACTCTTATTGTGTATATATTTAATATTTAACCGTTCTGATTCTGTGAGACAGCCATGTTAAAGATAGGTCCGCGCCAATTTATTGTGTCTGTACCTAACATGTTTTACCGTCGTTAAATAACGTTTTTACTTACTTACTTACTTACTTTACCACCTTGTGTCCTGGTATCAGGAGATCAGGGCGGTTCCCCAGGTGTCAGGATATCTGACTGGTTTTATCATAACAGCAGGTATATAATCACACCATTGACGTTTGTAACATCAGTCTAATACGAGAACAGCACACGGATGTTCAGTGACTTCATTGGGTAAACGGATGTTTCTTATATTAATTCAGTGCATTTACTTTCGTGATATATTATGTGCTTGACCTTACAGTCGTGAAATGGCGTGTGATGTTTGGATGATAATAATTCCAGGGTGCGAAATTAACGGGAGTCCGGGGTCAAATACTCCCTGATTTACTTTCGGACTCCCTGATTTGACATATGCAGGAGTCCGTGTGACTCCCTGAAAATTCTGCCATACTAACTAGTTTGTTCCAGAGCACGGCTTCGCGGAATTACCGTATTTTGTCATCTAATATCCAAAGAAAATTTGGCAGACGTGCAGCTGCATGAATGTTAAAAATCTGCACATGCATTATTGTTAATATCTTTAATTTTAAACATCTGACTGCGGACTCCCTTATTTTGCTGCGAACTCCAGTCCGTTGGACTCCCGTGTTCAAAAGTTAATTTCTACCCCTGCAATTCGATATTCAGAATGAACAGTTATATTGCAAACATAAATGAGGCGCGTTTTTGTTCTACATCAATACGCGTTGTTCAATGCATTTATTTGTATTCTCTTTACTAATTTGTAGGAGAGCCTATATAGGAATTCTACAAGTGTGACGAGGCAGTCTACGAAGCAAAACAAGTGGTCGTAACTTGAGCGCCAGACAGGGTAGACACCTGACGTGTGTGACCAGTAAGTGGCAGCTTTCCCTGACGCACGATGGAGTACGTGAGAATTAATACCGGGCAAAATCCACATGAGTGCAAGCTGTGTGATGCGCCCTTCTCCTGTCTGAATAGTTTGAAGATACATATAAAAAGTCACACGGGAGAGAAACCGTATAAGTGCGCGGTATGTGATGCTACCTTCTCAAAATCGGGTGATCTGAAGAAACACATGAGAACTCACACGGGAGAAAAACCGTATAAGTGTGATCTGTGTGATGTTGCCTTCATACAATCGGGTGACCTGAAGAAACACACAAGAACACACACGGGAGAGAAACCGTTTAAGTGTGATCGGTGTGATGCTACCTTCTCACGAGTGAGTAGTGTGAAGATACACATAAGAACTCACACGGGAGAGAAACCATATAAGTGTGAAGTATGTGATGCCGCTTTCTCAGATTCGAGTAATGTAAAGAGTCACATGAGAACTCACACGGGAGAGAAACGACATAAATGCAATCTCTGTAATGCTGCCTTCTCAGAATCGAGTGTTTTGAAGATACACATGAGAGCTCACACGGGAGAGAAACCATATAAGTGCGATCTGTGTGATGCTGCCTTCTCAACATCGGGTAATCTGAAGACACACATCAGAACTCACACGGGAGAAAAACCATATAAGTGCGCACTGTGTGATGCTACCTTCTCACATTCGTGTGCGTTGACGATACACACGAGAACTCATACGGGAGAAAAACCGTATAAGTGCGATCTGTGTGATGCTGCCTTCTCCTCTCTGCATCATATGAAGATACACATAAGAACTCACACTGGAGAGAAACCATATAAGTGCGCGTTGTGTGATGCTGCCTTCTCACAATTGGGTTCTGTGAAGAAACACATGATCACTCACACGAGAGAGAAACCACATAAGTGCGATCTGTGTGATGCTACCTTTTCCCGCCTGAGTGAAGTGAAGATACACATGAGAACTCACACTCAAGAGAAACCGTATAAGTGCAAGCTATGTGATGCTGCCTTCTCACAATCGTGTAATCTGAAGACACACATGATCACTCACACGGGAAAGAAACCATATAAGTGTGATCTGTGTGATGCTACCTGCTCGCGATCGGATAATCTGAGGCGACACATGAGAACTCACACGGGAGAAAAAACGAAAAAGAAAAAAGCAAAAGAAAATATTATTTCAATGTAACATTGGAAGTGAAGCTTTAGCTCTGAAGAGACCCTATATATATTCATACATGATAATGCGTAATAACTCTAGGGCGATGTCGTACGGATGTAAGCTGAAAGTGCATCTCGAACTGTCAGACTCACATGTAAGATCAGCTTGGCTCTCTGTAAAAGCGAGCACACTACACTGCACACGTGTGCACTGGAGCAGTGTGGTATACCAACGAATGCAACTCAAGTGTTACAGCTGCTTTCCAGATTGGAAGCTGAAGTAGGAATTGCTTGTGAAAGCCGGGAAACCTCTTAAGTTATACAAGCGGATGATGACATGTTTGATTGTTTAATGAGTATTACCCTACCTAACGTGTGACCATTATACAACGGTGTGAATTTAATACCATTCGTGATGAATTATATGTTTGAACACTAATCTAATGAAACACGAAGTACGTATTATTATTTGTAATTTTTATATCTCTCACCGAGACGGAAAATTTTATGTCTGTATATATAAACACACACACACACACACACACACACACACACACACACACACACACACACACACACACACACACACACACGACGCTAACAACGACCGCTATTCATATGTAGCACTTACCTGACTCGCCTGAATAATTCTTCATAAAATTCTTCTTTTTTAAATGTATACTTTTGGATCAACAGGGGGCATGACGCCCTTTGGCCCCCCTAACTACGCCACCGGCATTAGGTTGGCCTAATAGTATATTAATGAATAATGCAACAGAGAGATAAGTTACGGAATGACAGGAAGCTAAACTTAAAATGATCCTTAGAAGATGATACATGTCGAAAGCATTATTGTAATGCTTAGTGCAACCAACAACCTTTAATTTTTTATCAAGAAAGATGGAATGCCAATCCTCACCTGACCATGATAAATTTAATAAAAAGTTATAAGTATAGCATGGAGAAAGCGTACGCAAAGAGGAGGCCTGTCAAGGCACAGGCACTTGGAACGTCTCGATAAAAAATTAAATAAACACGAAATGTATTTACTACCAAAGTCTAAATGTTTCTCAACTCTGTTTCGTCTATTAATGTCGCTAACTACCCGTAAATGCCGGTCAAATGCTCATCTACAACACACAAGTACACCGCACGCACGCCCTGTGCACAAACAACATGAATAAGAGAGCAGGTAGGAAAGCGTGATCGCAAAATTCGCTTGACTCTCGCTTCATTTCACACCTTCACAGCCCAAATACACAAACAACAGTTTCCATCTTGGTATCTATGTGTAGCTAAGTGGTCACTTGTTCGAATTATAACTCTGTCCTTTGTCCTTACCCACTCCCGCCAGAGATATCTCGTGAAATCCTGCAGGAAATGTTCTCTCTGTGAAAATGTAAAAAGGACGTATCATTCGAAAATCCCTAATGGTGCTACTTTCGATCGATCACTGTAGTCGTGTCTGTGACGTTATGCCCGCGCGCATTATGCTTGGCTTGGCGGGCCTCGAAACGGAGCTCGGGGGCCAAACTCTACGACAGATGGCGCTCTCGCTCATTGGCTCAATCTACCACTGCCACAAGCAGATTTCCGTTACAATTTGTAACGCTTTTTTACTACATGTTTTACAGCAGCCACGTTACTCGTATCTTATGTAATAAGATTTGGACTAATAAAAATTGCAAAGATATTAAAAATCCAACCACTATTTTATGGACAATTTGATAAAATTGCGATATGAAATAGTGCGCGTATTGTGCGCCCATTTACTACTTTCAAATTATACGCTGTTTACGAACGCGTTACGGGCACTGATCTCTATAATATAATCTGGATAGCGCTTAGCCTATCCGCGTTTAATATAAAAGTGACGCCACAGCGCCAT